ACCACAAACCCTAAACCCTAAACCCTAAACCCTAAACCCTAAACCCTAAACCCTAAACCCGAGGAAAAGGAGCTCGACGCTGAAGAGTCTTGCGCCAGAAACGCCCAAAAACGGCCTCCGCGAAAACGCCTCGGCGCACGCGGGCCGCTGCCGGACAAACCCTTAGCCCTAAACCCTAAACCCTAAACCCTAAACCCTTGAACCTCGCCCACCAGCCCCGACCATCCCACCGCCCGCCCCAAAACCCCCAACCCTCAACCGCAAACCCTAAACCCCAAACACTAAAACCGAAACCCTAAACCCTAAAACCCAAACCCTAAACCCTAAATCCTAAACCCTAAACCCTTGAAGACTTCGGACCTCCCCCACCAGCCTCGACCGTCCCACCGCCAACCCTCCAAAACCCCAAACCCTTAACCGCAAACCCTAAACCCTAAAACCCAAACCCTAAACCCTAAACCCTAAACCCTAAACCCTTGAAGCCCTCGGGCCTCGCCCACCAGCCTCAACCATCCCACCGTCCACCCCATAACCCCAAACCCTTAACCCCAAACCCTGAACCCCAAACCCTAACCCGTAAAACCCAAACCCTAAACCCCAGACCCTAAAGGCTTAAACGCTAAACGCTAAACCCTAAACCCTTGAAGCCCTCGGAACTAGCCCACCAGCCTCGAGCATCCCACCGCCCACGCCCCAAAACCCCAAACCCTAAACCCTAAACCCCAAACCCCAGACGCTAAACCCCAAACCCTAAACCCTAAACCCCAGACCGTAAACCCTAAACCCTAAACCCTCACCGGGTGTAGAAGGCCCTGGAAGTGAAGGCGATGAAGAGAAAGGCGACGAGCATAGTGACAAAAGCAGCAACAGTTCGCTGCTGCGGCAGCAGCAAAAAGAAGAAAGAAACAATTAAAGTGCAGAAGCAAACAAGACAAGCCGCCACGTAAGTGGGGTCTCGAAACACCAGCAAAATGGTCATCTGCAGCAAAGCAGCAAACAGGGGGCCCCCCAACTTTGCTGCCAAAAAGGGTCCCACGGGGGCCCCCCCGGGCACCAGCAGGAAGTGCAGCGACTGGTCAAAGAGGGGGAACAGCAGTCTGCAAACAAACACATCATTCATTCTGTTCAAATGCATGCAGGCCAGCTAAACCCTAAACCCTAAACCCTAAACCCTAAACCCCAGACCCTCGGCGCCACGCCGTTTACCCGAAAACAACTAACCCCTAAACCCTACACCCCAACCCCCAACCCCCAACCCCCAACCCCCAACCCCTAACCCCTAAACCCTAAACCCTAAACCCTAGACGGACTGCAGCGCGGAAACGAGGAGCATGAGTCTGTTGAGGATGAATCCGTCGCCGGCGGAGAAGCGGGAAGCATCAACAAGACAAGAAAACCATTTTTTGTAGAAAAGTCGCGGAGAGAAGACGGGAGACAGCAGCAGCAAAGACAGCAGCGGCTGCAGCAGCAAACGCCCCCCTATCAGCGCCAAAGACCCCACCAAGCCCAGCGGCGAGTCCTGAGAAACCACAACCAGCACCCAGCAGCAGCAGCAGCAGCAGCAGCAGCAGGAGCAGCAGCAGGAGCAGCAAACCAGACCAGAATGAAAATCCCCCCCTTCCTCCCCCCTCCGCAGCAGCCCCCCCCCCCCCCCCCCCCCCCCC